GGTTTCTGTCATTTTTTCCTTTTATAATTGGAAAAGTTTGGTAATTGATATAAGCTTTATTCTTTCAGAATACAAGCGGAAAAATATTCCATTATAGTATTCTAAACTAAAACTGCCGAAAAACACAAAATCAATTTTTGTACGAATAGTGAGAGATTCGAACACATACACATAGCTTTGCAGTAAACTGTAAAACTAAATTCACTGTTCTGTGTCTATATTCTGTACAACGACTGAAGTTGTGCAATCGACTCGATGTTATCAGTAGTAATTTCTTTTGGTATGGTTTTTGTGTTTTGTTTGTTTGGTAATTCAGGCAGTTTATTTTATATTGACCTGAGTTAGATCGAAACAAGACCCGAACGTGAGTCGATCCGACCTGAATCAATATCTTCTACGTCGGCCCGAACCCAACCCGACCCGTTTTGGTCTCTGATAACTACAAAAGTGAAAACAACTCTGTACGTCATGAAGACACTTTTTTTCCGCAATAACTACAGATCTGCCGTTTGTACAGCCGAGTTCAGATCGACAAGCTCTACAAAATGAATCCTACGGTTTGCACTAAAACTTTTGTAAAGCGTCGTATGCTTCAGATGGATTTACCGTCTTCTGTTTGACTGTATGCACCATTACTTCCTCTATTTTAGTCTGAACAAATACATCTAAATCAGTTTACACATCGATCAGATTTGGATATCGAAGATACTGATATTGAATCTTTACAATCAAATCATACACATTTCATATTAATTGATAATGGACGTAATGCTGGCTATTCAGCTGATTCGGACCGCTCGGATTTTGTTAAACTGATACTTGAGTCGAAAACAAATCGCTGTATGTGCTTTTCCTAATTAGAAATGTTTGAATTTAACTTACATAGTTAATTATTCAGGTTTTGCTGTGACAATCATTGTTGAAGGCGGTATTCACACAACAGAAGTTATTCTTAACGACTTGAAAGAAAAACGTTCAGTTATCATTATTCAAGTATGTCACTGATTGAGAAAACCTTCGAGAATATATGTTTGATCAGCTGATAAAATAGTCTCGACCGTAAGTATTCGGTCTCATCCGAGAAAGATCGAATTACAAAAAATAGTAAGAGAGATCGAACTTTAACCAGCTCAGATAAAGGCAGAATTCAAAACTTTTTCTCATATAGTTTCTTCTGGACGCGAGAGCCGTATTGAGATGAGGCTACATAAATATTTAGGGGAGTGGCAAAATGGCTGATCTTATTGCTAAGTTAATGGAAATTACATCAGATAAAACACAACAGTCAACAAGGTATATCTCAGTTTCATTGTTAAAAAAGCATTTACTTACAAGGGAACATCCCGAAGTGTCTCCCAGTAATTTTGGACAAATACATGAGGTCTGATAGAGCTAAGTGCAGTGATCACAGATATGATATTTTTAGCTGCCACCATTCGCTCGCTGCTGAGTTAGAGTAGCTTTATTTTACTTTGATCAAAAATTGATCTATTTTCGATCGATTACATTTTTGATTTAAACCAATTTATTTAAAAGTATAGCAAATGGCAAAGAATACAAAGAGTACAACGTACTCGCTTCAGTACTATTACAGTATCATATAGGTAGACAATATAAGTATGCTACGTGGACAAAGAGGGGGAAGTGACAATAAGAAGAGCAATAAAGGCAAACAACAACTGATAAGCTAATAGAAAAAGTACATAAAAATCAAAATAAGATATAGAAGTGATGAAGATCCGTAACGGACACATCCAAAACGCTGCTGAAATATGTGTAATTAAATAAGAAGAAAATAGTCAGACATGTTTCATAAAGCGTTCAGTATTTATAACCTAGGTTATCATCAATCTGTATATTTCTACTAAATCAACCGGTTGAATAGTATTATCTTTGAGTAGTAGTAAGGGCACAGCAACAATCGTATTTGGAAAAAAAGTGGCTATTTGATTAAATAAAACATTCCGCTCATTTTGATAAGATGGACATTGCAATATGTAGTGTTCAATGGTCTCAATCTCTCCACACTCACAAAAAGGGTCATTTGTTAGGCTTCGATTACAGTCTTTGTAGATACATTATGTACATTCATTTAATATGCTGTTTTGTACAGGAATTCTTCATCAACAATTTGGTATATGGGACATAACAATTCGACTTATAGTATTCCAGAAACAAATAAGCATTTACTGTGCACGTAGGGTTATTGAGAAATAGACAAGGTTGAAAGCTAACTGATACTGTTATACTGATAGCAAACATTAAAATCAATTGTAATATATCATAAGAAAGTGTTTTGAATCCCCTACAAATTGATATATTTAAAAATACAAAATTATTTTTTTATAGAGAAATATAGGAGTAAAAATTACGATGCATAGCAAAAGATACGTGTACAGTCAATAATTATTTGTTTCTCGAATACTTTACCTTTATCAAGATAGTAAAAAGCCTAAATAGATTTTTTATCCCTATGGCTCTTGAAGACCCGGTTTTCTGGAAAACCAGTTTGTAAGAAACTCTAAAAGAAAAATTTAAAGCGTTTCTTGAAAAGGCATGATTATAGCTCGGAAATTCCTGATTAAAATGAGACCCAGATCTAAACAATCTTTCTTTGCAAAGTTATAGAATTTACAAGAAAAGCTCTAAATGTTCATTGTCAGCTCAAACTTGCAGAAATAAGACGAAATCAATTTAGGGCTTTTCTTGTAAATTCTATAACTTTGTAAAGAAAGGTCGTGTAGAACTGGGTCTCATTTTAATCAAAAATTTCCGAGCTATAATCATGCCTTTTCAAAAAACGCTTTGATTATTCTTTTAGAGTTTCTTGAAAACTGGTTTTCCAGAAAACCGGGTCTTCAAGAGCCATAGGGATAAATCTATTTAGGCTTTTTACTATCTCGATAAAGGCTATCGATTGATGTATGTTTGAAAGAAATCGGGATTGGACAGCTGGAAATGTTCCCTCGTCAGCAGCGAGCGAACGATGACAGCTGAAAATATCATATTTGCGATCAGCGCACTTAGCTCTACCAGACCTCACGTATTTCTCGAAAATCACAGGAGACACTTCAGGATGTTCCTTCGTTAGTAATCATTTATATTTTCTCGCTTTAGAGACCTAACTGATGAAGAAATTAAAAGTAATATAAAACTCTTTTTACCCAATTGGTTTCAAACAGCTACTGTTAATGACTTGAATGAAAGCTATCGTTCAATTCGAGAGATATTAAAACTATCATTAAGACAATATTTGCATGTATATCATCTTGGTAGTAACGCAAGTTTAACAGAAACAATATTTAATTCAGTTTTTAAAACTCACATTACAGAAGAAATATTTAATTCCGTTGTTAAAGCTCCCTTTACAGAAAAAGAACTTTTATATTTGGCAATTAAATGGAATTGTCTTGAAAATGTTAAACGAACATTAGAACAGAAACAACATAAAACACAGGTATAGCTGTTTGAATATTCATTTATTTTAAAGTTTGCTGACATTTGTTTTCAAGGATCGAGAATTATATTCAAAAGTATTTAAACAAGCGATGTTAAGTGATCGTTGGAAAGTTGTTGATTATATACTTCGTTTAAATTTTTCTCCACTTGAGACTTATGAATATATTGATTATAAAGAACAGAAACCAAATTCTGTCAAAATCACATCTCAGTTATTACAAACTAATGTTAATAGAATTAGTGATAAAAAATCTACAATTATTAATTTAAACAATGATAAAAATGATGCAATCAACAACAACTAATATACATCATATATTGAATAGTAAAGTTCATCCAGCGGCTAACAATGTTGTTAATAATTCGAGAACAGATAGCAGTCAAGATTCTTGTCAAACAGCATTTGCGCTTAAATTTATTATGATGCTTTATAAAAAAGATTTTCAAAGACCAGAACAGGTCAGTACCATTGCCATTACAGCTGAATGAGCTATATATCCGCAAAAAAGAAACACCTATGGGAAAAATCTAAATAGATTTCGTGTATAATCGAGCGTCTCACGACTACTTGTTATCTAGAGTACTAGTTGGAAAAGGGACTTTTAACTAGATGCATCCGCATGTGCAACTAGCAATAGTTAAATCGCTCTATTATGGCGCGATAAGTCGATAGTTACAACCAAGGAGAAATCTAGCAATCGCCCAATTAGATTTCTACTGTAGTTACCAACTAATTACAATCGAGTAAAAACTTGGTAATCTAGATAAATCGAGCGATGACAGATTTTTTTTGAGTTGGATTTTATCGCTGATATTCAAAAAGTATCTCACTTATTTGTTTGAATCAAGCGTAATACTATTGCCCTTTCTACTATAGTTTGCACTTACCTACACAACTTAAAAAGAGAGAAAGTTCATTCCAGCGGTTTTTTGTTTAATTTGCTGATGTTGATCATTGATAAAAAGATCAGTTCATTTAATAAATATGTCATTTTATTGTTATCATTAGAAAATTAGGTACTTTTGCCGCGCTGCATCAAATTAGTTGGAACTAAGGTTCATACAGAATTTCACGGCGCATTCGACAGCGGGCTTCTTATAATTCTATTTTGAGTTTCTGATAGAGACTTCTTATAGTAAATTTAGGCATTTTTTCCTGTTCTGTTACCTTTTTCTTTTTTCTCTCTTTTCTACGCGCATGTTTTGTCGTGTTTTCTCTTTTATATAGACGATACATCCGCACATCGAATAACAGATAGAATAAATTTTATTCTAAATTTAGCTTTTTTATAGAAACGCCTCAAAGTTTAAATCAAGCAGAAACAGTGATAAACTTAAATTTTTACATAAAACTATGATCTGTCATTTTTTATACTTTTCTCTAAGAAATATAATTGTTCATTGAAAATGTATGCTGCAAACGCGAAACTATAAAAAAGCGTTAGATATTAAATGAAGCCAAACTGCGCCAGGGATACGATGAGTTGGGGCTAAATCTGTAAAAGAAATAGTCCTCTTATGCCACACGTTCTCATGCGGAAAAGTTGTAATTATTATTCAAAGGTAGAGCTTCTTGAGGGCTACAAAATATCAACTAATTTGTTTTACATCTCACCAAAAGAATCAAATCGAAAATAGAAACAGCGAATTCTGTGCTCGAGCAGCTGGGATAATGCTATTACCAACTTTGATGCAATTACACAAATCTTGTCCCACTATTTTTACCAGTGAATTAAACCAATTCATAAAAACATTGTATGTTCTCGCCAAAAACGTCATGTTAAGCTCAGCAACCTCGTTTTGTATAGAGTTAGTCTATCTACATTTTCACAATCTTAAAGGTTTTTTTTCTATTACACATAATGGCAGTCTAGTAAATAATCTCAGCAAAATAAGTAAGTGATGAAGGATATTTCATACTCCGGTTTATTTCACAAACGAACGGATGGTAGAAAATACTTGCACACTAGAAAAGCGATATTAAGAGAGTTTTAAATCTCGATCTACACTAACAACTTTTTTCTTAAACTCTGAAAAGTGTACACTCATACCTATACATTTATACTAAATATTGATTTCTAAATAGATTAGTCGTAAACGTTTTCTCAACGTTCCGAAATTTCCCATGGATTTGGATGTCGAATATTCAAAGTGGATTGGTTCCTATATGCGTACCCTTTTCAGAGAAACGTCGTTCTCACAGCGATTTAAATCTGATTATGATTATTATCTAGCTAAGTTTAAAGGACACTTTATACCGTGCACAAATTATCAAAATCAAGAATCAGAGAAACAGAATGATAGTAATGATAGTGATGATGATGAAATTGATCAGAAAAACGAAAATAATACTCAACCAATAGATTTAAATGCAAGTACACAAGATGTTGCTTCTCAATTGGTCTTTAAAGCAGGTAAAGGAATTTTTAGTTTATTGGACTATTCAGTTGGAAAAATAAAATATGGTGAACAAGAAATGCTGAGAGATTTATTTTTATGGTGTATATTAACAAATCGTTATACAATGGCTAAAGTGTTTTTAGTTCATATTAAATCTCGAATATGTGCATCGTTAATTGCATCAACAATATTAAAACGTTATTCAACATATTCTACACGTTTAGATGAGGAACATTTATATAAACAACAATCATTAGAATTTGAACTATACGCAACAAACTGTTTAAATTATTGTTATCAACAAAGTGAAAAACAAGCATGTGAATTAATCATTAGAGAAGTACCTTTATTCGGCTATGTCACATGTATGCAGGTTAGTCTTTTGTCTTTTCTCCGTTCTTTGTACGATAAATCTATTTATATGTGATGTACAGGTAGCTATTGCTACAAGATGTAAATCATTTATCAATACCAATTGTTTCAATCAAGTATTAAATCGTATTTGGTATAATAAATTAGATAATTATAATCGACAGTATTCAGCTAAACCAAACCTATGTTTAGCAATTCTTACATTTGGTGTAACAGCACCATGGCTACTCAATTATAGAATTAAAGAAATACACAAAGTAAGCACTTTTAAGACCTCTCTTACAAAAATTTCTGTATTTTACAATCGATTTAATGCCATTTCCAGAGACTATTCATCTTAATAAAATATGATTATGAAATAGATTACAGTGTTGTATTAAGATGTAGACTTAGTCTTACTAATTTTTTGGGATTTTTGTGGTAACCAGTGTGAAAAATGCAGCTGTTTTCTTGTCAAAAATTTCTTACGATGGAGAACTATGAGAAATTCGAAACGATTTTGTTTTTTATAGTCGAGATTCGTTTCTAGTTCCTCTTCGAGTCAACTTTTTGGAATTATTTTTTATTTTCAACTTCAAGGGAAAAAAGATCAAACTCTAAAACATATTTGCAGAAGTGTAACAACGACATGAATGAAAACATACATTCCTAGACACTCTAAGATGCACTAATTAATTTCATTTCCTAAACTTCAGTTTCGATAACTGCAAGACAGTTCGTTATGTTACATTATTTTAGCTTCATATATTTTTGTTTATAATAATTGTTTAATTGAATGAATCGATAATGTAATGATGCTGGTCAAATTGCTTGGGTTGAATCAATGGTAATAGACCAACTATTTTACATAATTCTCGAATAGATATAAACCTGGATCGTAGGAGTTCTGTACATAATTTAATAATAGTCACTAGTCTATTTGTCTGATAAACAGAGTGTCATTATTTCAGACTCAGTATAAAATCCAAGATATTCCATTACTCTTCATGTGAGAGTAATGAGAATGAGGACTGAAAAATGATTTATTTGAAACTTAGAATGACACTCATTTCATGGAATAAATATAAAAGAGTATTTCTACGAACTACTAAGATTTCCAACAAGTGCTGGAACAACGTTATATCGCCTAGACAAATTATCAAAAGTCAAACAAAAATTTACATAGTCAAACAAATTTACTTTTGACCATTTTCAAATAGTGGTACAGTGAGATATACATTGGGCGAGTCAATTTTGATCATACAGTCCGACAATTAAAATAAATTTTTTAGCGCATTTTCAAATAAATTTTCATTTTCATATAAATTTTTTAGCGCATTTTCAAATTCAATCGAATAACTTCAAACAATATTCAAAACTCATCTTAAACGTTAAATCTTATTAATCTTAATAGATAGTTTTCTTTTCCTATCTACATATTCCTAACTTACTATCTATATCATCAACATTATTTCACATACATACGCTTGAGGAAATTAAATAAAATTTGGAAAGTAGCTAGAGACGTGTGGTTTGCGTTGTTAGAAAGAGAAAAGATAACTTTATCAGGAAATGTAACACTCAAGCAGGTTGCACCGGCTTCTGGTACCACCTATCGATGAAACTTCTTTAAGTGGACTTAGCGCCGAAAGTTCTTATAGCATGGGGTTGTCGTATGACATGATTCATAGAGCAAACATTTCTATACAACCCTCCACAATCAGAAAATTTATTAAACTTCAAGTCTGGCCAGGGAAGGCCCAAAACCAAAACCTCTAAAAATTGGTTTTTGGTCCGAAACCCACCTTAAAACTTCTTGTATTGTGTTCTCGTGTAGCCCACGTTGTAGAGCATGTCGAACTACCCTTGTGTACCAATTTTGAGCATCACACGATTTCGGGAACGAAAATTCGAAGTTTTCGATAAATGTCTCATAGGCTGTGATCATATGCACTAAAATGGACGTACAAACTTCGAATTTTCGTTCCCGAAGTCGTGTGATGCTCAAAATTGGTACACAAGAGTAGTTCGACATGCTCTACGACATGGGCTACACGAGAACACAATACGAGAAGTTTACGTAGATAGGAAAAGAAAACTGTCTATTAAGATTAATAAGATTTAACGTTTAACCGATAGAGTCCCTATGTCCACTATAGTGGACATAGCCTTGAAGTTATATTTTAAACAAATATTGAGTGGAAGAGGCACTTATTATATGTATTCTTGTAGCTCATAAAGAGCTCTATCTACT